GGACAGAGGTGTGGGGTCCAGGGGGGGGGTTGCGTTGACTTCTGGCTGGTCTGCTACAGCAGCAGCTGGCTAGCCATTGGCGGACCGATGCCGCACCTTGAAGGGGGCGCGGGGGATTTTGCGGGGCGGCCGCCGCGGGCTCATCACCGGCGCGCCGAGCGCGTCCGCCGCGCCGACGGGAGACGTGAAGTAGGGGCTCTGGGGCGCCGGGCCCGCCACGGGGCTGGCCGCGTCGCCGCACTGCGGGCGGCGGGGGGTGGCAGGGGGGGGGCATGTGTGGGCGGCGCGGCTCACGTGCTGTGCGGGGATGCCTTGCCCAAACGTGTGCAAATTGCACAGCGCAGCCGAGCTGCTCCCTTTTGACAGCCCCAAATGCCCCCTGGTCGACGCGGCAGTTGCCAGCCGGCTTCTTGCCGGCCGGGACGGAATGGACCCGGCCGACGGGAGCTTCACACTGCAAACTTCTCACCTTGAACCGCAGCATGCGCTTGCCGGGGCTGCCCGTGCCCCTGAGCTGGTCCAGCTGCGCGGCCTTGTCTGGGGATATGGGGGAGGGGCACTGGCAGCCCAGCAGCTCGGACCGCAGCAGAATGTTGTAGGCCGGGTTGAGGTCCTGAGATGGGGGGCGCATCAGCGCAGGGGGCCGTCGGAAAAAGAGGGACACAACAATAGGGAGGCGAGCGAAAGAGGCTGCTTTGAGGAGAAGGGGCGCGTCAAAATAGTGGGGCCTCAGGTCCCTTTGTTCAGGGGGCGGTCATGAGCAGGGGAGGGAGGGACGCATCAGAACACTATCGGGTCCAACGCCGGCCAGCAAAACGCACCGCCACCGCTGGCTCTGCCGCGGACGCTGCGGGGTCGCCGCCTGCTGGCCCCGTGCTGACGGCGCGCCAACACAGGCCCGCGCAGCCTCCCTCGACCGGCACTGGATTCCCATGCGCGCATCCCCGTCCGCAGCCGCCCTCATTGCCTGCCCGCCGCCGCCGCCGCCGCCGCCCCTGCCTCACCTCCCGCTCAGCCGCGCTCTTATTGACTTCCGAGGTCGCCATCTCCCTATCCAGCGGCGAAAAGTCCAGCCGCGCGTGCGGCGCCCTGGATGGAATGAACCGGTCCGAATACTGGACCCGGCTGCCGCCCGCAGACCGCGGAGAGAACCAGGGCGCCCCGCCCCCGCCCCCGCCCGGGCTCGCGCCGGCCGCCGGGCCCTGCCGCGCGCCCGCGCCCGGCCCACTCCCCGGCCCGCTCCCGCCGCCGCCGCCGCTGCCTCGCATGGGGGACGCGCCGGGCGTGCGGGGGTCGCCGCTCAGCGGCGGCGCGGCGGCGCGGGGCGTGGATGGGAGGCTACCAGCGGCGCCGCTGGCGCCGGCGGCGGCCAGGGAGGAAACTGGCGGGAAGGTGCTGAGGCTCGGGCTAGACCCAAGACGCCACAGCGGCGGCGGCGCCGCCCCAGGCTGCTGCTGCTGAGTATATTGGGGCTGCCATTGCTGATTCAAGCTGCTGCCGCTGCCGCTCGCCACCGCGGAGGTGCTGGCTGCATGCTGCTGCTGCTGCTGCCATGGCGCCGCGCTGCCGAATTCAGGCGTCATATCCATGTGCCAAGCTGGGCAGCGCAAGCGCCTGCGTCGCGCCGCGCCGCGGCGCTGCGCGCCGACGCGCGCCGCGCCGGGCGACCTCCCCGGCGCTGGGCCCGCAAACCTGCGCCCCGCCCCGCCGCAAGCGGGCGGCGGGGCCGATGCGGGAGTGGGGTCGGCGCTCGCTGTAAAGCACTCGTCTCCAAGGGGTTTGTCCGAGGTATGAACGAGACCAAAGCGTGCTGATTGGTGTGCTGCGCCTTGCAAGCGAGCCCACGAGCTACTGAGGCTACCGCAGGCAACCTGCCAAGTCGCCCAGGGACGGGGGCCAGCCGCGAGGCGCGGCGTGCGCTTGAACAGAGTGCCGCGCCAGGGCGGTGGCGGTGTTGCCCCTGTTCAGCTCGCCGCGAGGCGAAGAAGCTTCAACGCAATTCCGATGACATGTAAATGCCCACAAATCCGAGCAACGCTCCGAGGGACTGCTACCTTTTCGACGAGTATGGTTTGCAACCAGCCAAGCCCCGAGCTGCGCTCCCGTCCTCGCCCACGCTCTAGAGCTGAGCTACGACGGTTCAATTTGATACAGACGCTGCTGGTCTGAACTTTTGATGATCGTGCACGATCTGACCGAAGTCAAACGCGATGGATAGCCCATATATGTATGACAAGCACAATTACGAGACGGTGTGGGTGCAAAAGGGCTTGGGGCACACAGCTTTTCTTTTGATGACTGCTATGCTGCCACCTGGGCGGATCGCTGCGTATGGGTTTGCTACCCACAGCTACATTCTTTAGTCACTGCATGATACATGCTGCTCTACTTGGTCCAGAAGCTCGCGTTTGTCAGATCATCCCTTCCGCGCCCTCTCCGGGCTTCATATGCAACCAACGCCCACACAGAGTGAAACTCCAAAGCATATTGAACAATCACACGAACAGCGCTCCCCGACCAGCCATGGCTCTTGCCTCTCCCCCGCTGCCCAGGAGTTCAGGCCTCTAGGTGGGAGATCCATCCGCTGTTTGAGGCACCAACCGGCCGCGCCTGTCTTTTCTTGACTCGTGGAACACCACGTCGCTGCGCTCGCAGGTGGCGGTGCTGCGTCCGCAGGGCGCGGCGGTCCCGCATCTGCGTCGCGCGGCCGCGCGGTGCGTGTCCTGCCATCCCTGGTCGGCCCGCCTTGCAACGGCACCACGGGAGTGCCCGTTTGTACCTGCAGGCGCCGGCCTTGATTGCTCAGGCACTTGGACGCAGGCTGCGCGCCTGGGCCCGCCCGTGCGCCCGCGCGACGCCACCATTGAAGCACTCGCGGCGGGCGCCGCCCAAGCCCCCTAGCCCGCCCCCGCGCGCCCCGCGCAGGGCCGCCGCGGCGGAGGTCGGGATGGAGGCCGCGGGAGCCTGTCCCACGCGCTAGGCCGTGGCCCGCAGCACCCCGAGCAGCAGCACCGCCACAGGTGGGCCGGGGCGGGGCGGCAAGAACGACAAGATAACTCCCCGAGTGGCGGTTGGTGGGTGGGCGGTTGGTGGGGGCACCCGGAATCCAAACCATCTTCATTCTTCAAAGCAGCCGGTCGCGTCTGTTGTTGGAATTTTGTGCAAAGATACACCTGCGGGAGCGCCCCTGAACCCGTTGCCGTTCTGCCTGCTGGCGCTGAGCCCCTTTTCGGCAGCATGCGGGCTGTCACAGTTTACGGTCTGGGACATGGCAGCCAAGAGCACGCCCAGGCGGTTTGCATATGAAACGGCACCGCTTCCCAAACACTGCAGGGACCGCTCCGTCGAAGATGTGCCCGACGGCGGCGCGCCCCCGGCGGCCGCGGCGCCGGGCGGCGCGACTCATCGCGGCGGCGTGAGGGGCGGCGCCGCGGGCGCTGCGGCGGCCTCTCCCGGCGGCGGCGGCGGCGGCGGCAGGGGTTACATGAGCGCCAACCACTTGCTAAACTTCCAATACCAGCCTCATGACGGCCGCGGCGGCGCCAGGGTGCGTTGGAGGACAATGTTGGATAGTCACAACCGCGTGTGCCGCGCATGAGATGAATCTTGCGAACCCGCTGTTTCGAGATCTTGCGTTTGAAAGCAGGGAGCACAGTAGGCACCAACCGCGCTACAACGCGCGTATGTGTGCGCGCCCTCGGCCGTGGTTGCCGCGCCGCAGCAGCAGGAGCCCGCAAAGGCCCCACTCCCTCGTGCCCTCCGCGCAGGGCGGCCGCGGCGCCGGCGGGCCCGCGGGGCGCGGCGGCGGGGCCGGCGGCGGTGTCAGGCGGCGGCCCCCTGCGCCGCGGCAGCGCTACGATAGGAAGAAGTTTTTGCAGGCCAACTTCCGGTTCCTGGTGTCAGGTGGGTGACCCTCTGGCTGCCGCTGCTGTCCGGGGGGTTCTGCAGGGGTCGATCGCGGGGTCGCGGCACACGCGCCGCAGGCGTCCGCGCCGGGCCGGCGGCAGAGTGCACATGTGCCGCAAGCAGGGGCACGCACACCGGTGGCACCGTGTGTGCATGCCTGGCGGGCCGCCCCACAAGGCGACTGACGCTGCGCTCGCAACACCCTGAACCCTGCCGCCAGACGCGGTTGACCAGCGGCTGTATGGATCTGATGCGGACGCCATGTTTGACTGGGAGGATGTGCTGCAGGTGGGAGGCCGGGTGATGGGGGGGCTCCAAGAATAGGGGGACTTTGTTAGGGCCCCAGGCAGCACAGGGGCGAGGGAGAGAGGACGGCAACCGCGAGGCAGCGGAGGGCTGGAGGCAGACCATCGGACGCGCACGCCGCGGGCCGGATTGCGGGTCGAGCCGAGGCCCTGCAGGGCTTCGGGTTCAGGGTTGTGTGTTTTGGGGGTGGTGGTGCCATGTTTGCCCGGGAGGGTGTGCTGCAGGTGGGCCGAGCGCCCGGCCCCAAGAGTACAGGGGACTCTTTGGGGGTGCAGGCAGCCGGGAAGTTGAGGCAGCTGCAGGGTCCAGGCAGATCGTGAGACGCACCTCACCGGATTGGGGGTCGAGCTGAGACCTCACACGGTTTGGGGTTCAGGGTTTGATGCTTTGGAGGGGGGCGGGGGCTGGTAGGATGCCCTGCAGGGG